ACTGGCAAAGTTCTTTTAAACTACGAACTCCATCGCGTGCCCGCCGCCCTCGCGTGCTCCACCGCGCGCCCGGAAGGAAAGACAGAAGGAACTGGATGCCCTATAAGTGCGAATTCGCAGACCCAGGGACCTCTGAGGAGGGCCTGCCAATAAGTCAGACAAACTTTGGCATACTCCCTGGAACAGCAATATCCTAGTCCTCAATTTTCCTTCGTTGACAGAACCGAAGATGTGTTTTCTAGGTCAGGACGCCTGTGACCCAAGCCTGCTGAGGTCTGCCGCCTCCCAAACAATCGCTCGCCGTGGCTGCACTCGACATCAGCTTGACGACCTCATCAGGCGGAACAAACGTATCGCGCATTATTAGCTCCTACGTTCATACTACACTAAGAGGCGTTGAAGTTAAACTGCACAACAACAGCGTAAGGACGTGGTCGAGGGGCTCGAGTTCCTGAACATGCCTGTTGAGTTGGCCATCCATAGCTCAGCCAATACACTTCAGGCCGTCACAGTGATTTCGTCACTAGTTGCAACGTGCAATGGAACTACAGTAATTACACAAAGCCGCTACTTCACGGCACATCGACCTGACAAAACTCCTACAACTGAGCCAGCAAGATATCAAAACTGGTTTCCAGTGGACGGAACGGCCGGAATGCATACATATCACCGCACAGCCGACTACACAGAACACTTTAATATCCATGTACCCACATATCAGCAATCCAAAATAATCGCTGCACTGTGCGGAACTTTCCCGGCACTCGTTGGATCAAACATGGAAATACCAGCAAGTTGCACCTGCAGGCAGAGATGGCACTCCATGCTTGCATTGACGAACTGGCTGTATGCAGCACACAAATTTCAAAAGTTGCACAAAAGGCAATCTGCCATTTCAAGGCATCAAGAGCGCACACAACTCCAAAAACTTTGCACAACAAGACGACGCCACGCAAAAAAAAAGTACACAAAGTCACGGCATGCGTCTTTTGCCGATCTTGGAAACGGATCTCTGGCGCAAGATAAGGACATTTTAGCTAGGCGCAGAAGTGCAAAAACTATGCACTGATACACTATGAAAGAACTGTTACGCCAGAGCAGTAATTTGCACAATTAGCTACTCACCCCGCACTTCATAGTGGCATATATATCAGTCTGCTTTCTTCATACGGCGTGGAACTCCAGAACACCCCGGCATAACTGCTAGAGTTTCAGTGCGCTTTTTTATTCCCAACAGTGTTGGGGTCTATCAAGCAATGACGTATGGCACCGCAATGCGTAGACATACGATCTTCACGTAGTGTCTGAACTGCTACCTTATTTTTTTCGAGCAACGATGCTAAGAAATTATCACGTGGCTTATACTTATCGTCCCTTCAGAATCTCAAGTGAGAACTGCCCGAAATGAGCGGCAACTGGACAAGCTCGTGTGACAACTGCTAAGGCACATGACTCCACCGGGTAAGCTGAACTGCCAACGGGCTCACTCCCTGAAGCACGCATCCTCGAAAATCCCCATCTCGGATTTCCAACAGACGATAAAGCAAAAACCCCGTGAACGCGACAAAGATATCCTTACCTGTCAATTGACAGGCATCCAGATGTGCGTGCAACGACCCGGAAATGACATTCATGCATTTCTGCTGGCGACTCCGATAATGGCGCAATATACGCATATGCAATTCACATTTCTTTCGACCAAACTGAATACGTCACGAATGAAAATGCAGTTTGCAATTCGCATAATCTTCAGTACATCACGCTCAACGCACCATCACGCGAAGCGCGTACAGCTGGCAGTCCATAGAGACTGCGGGATACAAGAAGGGAGCCTCTAGCATTCAACCAACGGTAGGATTCATAGTTGTGCCACGATATGCTCAAAGAACGTGGCTGCAGGATTAGGAAGTATCCGAAACGCACGCGCGCCGCCGTCCATATCAGTATGCAAGGCATTCAAACGACTATCCGTCCAATATCCAACCTGCCGAAATGAACACTTTACACTGTGCGTTGCTCCCGTAAAGTTTATACGTCTCAGTTGCATATGTATATAAAACCACACAGCGACAAACGCTACATACAGACACTAAAATGTTTGCGCACGATTGATGCTCGCTAAACGTCTACTTGAGACATCCAAGTTAGAAAATGTGACCGCCAGCAAAACAACACGGAATGCACACTGCAGCCGTCGAAACTCCGGAAGCTCCAAACCCATGCCTGCACGCCGACGCAATCGCCACCACTACACACAAAGCCATGCAACTTTATACACAGAGCACTTCATAGCTTGTGATGCCTAGTGACGGCGCCTCACACTTCTACACGTCTGCGGCATAGCATGCAGACTAATGTCAAAATCAAAGTAGGGGCGTACGCTGCGACTACAACACAAACGTGTTGCAGCGCAAGACCAGCCATTCCAGCTCCTCCGCCTCGACGTACTGGCTGCGTATGGCAAAACCCAGCGAGGCGAGTCCTGACACCGGTGGGTGCCTTCGCGCAAGCCCACGCCTGCAAAACAGCAGCAACAAAACTCACTCGAAACAACGGCAATGTCCTAAATACACGCGATACAGCGTTACGCAATGCACTGTGTCATCGATCCTGACAAGGCCACAATATAGCGAAGAAAACGCTTTTTCACCTAAACAAAGTGGTACATCGAGGCAGCCCCCAATGCCCTCCGACGCACAGAGATCCTGCCAAAATAGACTCCCCGCCAAGCTGCACGCTGACCATACTCTAAACATGCACCTCAACTCCGCTCCTTGACAAGGCTTTTCCTTCGCTCTAGAAACAGCACGCCCACCGTGCTCGAAAACATATTTGCCTTGCACGCCTCAGCCTCTCATTCGTTAGTGTGACATACGCCACTCGACGGATTGCAATATTCTCCACACGTACGGGCTGCAAACGAAAGTCCGCAACGCGCTCCAGATGCCCCCGAGATGTGCGCCATAAAGCCGCAAACCACGACGAAGCACAACGTACCTCCAACTCAAATATTGTCACCAATATCTACACATGCGCCCTCTTCACCCCTGCATCCACAGGCATTCCAAACACGTCAATACGACGCTGCCTTAATGCAAATTCCCAAGCGCTTTCTAAGCCATCGGCTCTGTGCAACTCGCGCTGATGTCGTGTGAGACAGTCGCAACGTGAAACGACAAATCCGGAAAACGCAAGAGACTTAGACAACCTTCACGGCGCAAATGCACTAGCTGGGGGCAACTCGACGTGGATATGCCAAAACCGCGAACTCACGCAACTGACAAACGCACACTCGCAACACTCGCAACACTTCTACTCCTCGACGCTCACTCCCTGCATCGGCAATTCCGTCACGTAGCCGTCTGCTCTTTGCTCTGCTGTCGAACTAAAAGCTGGCTGTGCTCGCGACCCGCTCGAGTAACTAACCTTTGCCGCGCAACGACCAGTCCAAGCGCCGTTCAGCTAAACGTCTCCATCGCACGACCTCCACGAACCCGCCAGACAATGCAACCATGAAACGTGCTCACCCTCCTTTTCGCGCAGTGCGCTTCAGAGCATTCAGCCTAATGCCTGCAACTGGCCAGAAAATTGAGGCGCAGCATAGCAGACTCTGCGCGCGTCTCCAACAGTCGTGGGTACTTGCAAGCCGATAGATCCACCCAAACCCTCACCACCCACGAGATGCATGCGCCACAAACACCAACTTGGAACGTTCGAGTCTGAAATAAGGCACCCTATCGCCTGACAGAACACAGCTAAGATATTGCAGTCGGGAAAACGCCAAGAGCTCCAAATCCATGGCTGCGCGCCGACGCAATCGCCACCACTACACACAAAGCCAAGCAACTTTATACACAGTGCGCTTCATAGCTTGTAACGCCTAGTGATAGCGCCTCGAACTTTTACACGTTTGCGGCACAGCACGCTATTAATGTCAAAATCAAAGCAGGGGCGTATGCTGCGACTGTCACGCGAACATGCTGCAGCGCAAGACCAGCCATTCCAGCTCGTCCGCCTTGACGTACTGGCTGCAAATCGCAATAGCCAGCGAGGCTAGCTCCGACACCGGTGGGTGCCTTCGCGCAAGCCCACGCCTGCAAAACAGCAGCAACAAAACTCACTCGAAACAACGGCAATGTCCAAAATACAAGCGACACAGCGTTACGCAATGCACTGTGTCATCGATCCTGACAAGGCCACAATATAGCGAAGAAAACGCTTTTTCACCTAAACAAAGTGGTACATCGAGGCAGCCCCCAATGCCCTCCGACGCACAGAGATCCTGCCAAAAAAGGCTCCCCGCCAAGCTGCACGCTGACCACGCTCTGACAATGCACTCCAGCTCCGCTCCTTGACAAGGCTTTTCTTTCGCTCTAGAAACAGCACGTCCACCGCTCTCGAAAACATATTTGCCTTGCACGCCTCAGCCTCTCATTCGTTAGTGTGACATACGCCATTCGATGGATTGAAATATTCTCCACACGTACGGGCTGCAAACGAAGTCCGCAACGCGCTCCAGATGCCCCCGAGATGTGCGCTATAAAATCACAAACCACCACGACAAAGCACAACGTACCTCCAACTCAAATATTGTCACCAATATCTACACATGCGCCCTCCTCACCCCTGCATCCACAGGCATTCCAAACACGTCAATACGACGCTGCCTTAATGCAAATTCCCAAGCCCTTTCTAAGCCATCGGCTCTGTGCAACTCGCGCTGATGTCGTGTGAGACAGTAGCAACGTGAAACGACAAATCCAGAAAACGCAAGAGACTTAGACAACCTTCACGACGCAAGTGCACTAGCTGGGGGCAACTCGACGTGGATATACCAAAACCGCGAACTCATGCAACTGACAAACGCACACTCGCAACACTCGCAACACTTCTACTCCTCGACGCTCACTCCCTGCATCGGCAATTCCGTCACGTACCCGTTTGCTCTTTGCTCTGCTGTCGAACTAAAAGCTGGCTGTGCTCGCGACCCGCTCGAGTAACTAACCTTTGCCGCGCAACGACCAGTCCAAGCGCCGTTCAGCTAAACGTCTCCATCGCACGACCTCCACGAACCCGCCAGACAATGCAAACGTGTTGCAGTGCAGGACCAGCCATTCCAGCTCGTCCGCCTTGACGTACTGGCTGCAAATCGCAATAGTCAGCGAGGCTAGCTCCTACACCGGTGGGTGCCTTCGCGCAAGCCCACGCCTGCAAAACAGCAGCAACAAAACTCACTCGAAACAACGGCAATGTCCAAAATACAAGCGACACAGCGTTACGCAATGCACTGTGTCATCGATCCTGACAAGGCCACAATATAGCGAAGAAAACGCCTTTTCACCTGAACAAAGTGGTACATCGAGGCAGCCCCCAATGCCCTCCGACGCACAGAGATCCTGCCAAAAAAGGCTTCCCACCAAGCTGCACGCTGACCACGCTCTGACCATGCACTCCAGCTCCGCTCCTTGACAAGGCTTTTCTTTCGCTCTAGAAACAGCACGTCCACCGCTCTCGAAAACATATTTGCCTTGCACGCCTCAGCCTCTCATTCGTTAGTGTGACTACGCCACTCGATGCATTGAAATATTCTCCACACGTACGGGCTGCAAACGAAAGTCCGCAACGCGCTCCAGATGCCCCCGAGATGTGCGCCATAAAGCCGCAAACCACGACGAAGCACAACGTACCTCCAACTCAAATATTGTCACCAATATCTACACATGCGCCCTCTTCACCCCTGCATCCACAGGCATTCCAAACACGTCAATACGACGCTGCCTTAATGCAAATTTCCAAGCCCTTTCTAAGCCATCGGCTCTGTGCAACTCGCGCTGATGTCGTGTGAGACAGTCGCAACGTGAAACGACAAATCCGGAAAACGCAAGAGACTTAGACAACCTTCACGGCGCAAATGCACTAGCTGGGGGCAACTCGACGTGGATATACCAAAATCGCGAACTCACGCAACTGACAAACGCACACTCGCAACACTCGCAATTCTTGTACTCCTCGACGCTCACTCCCTGCATCGGCAATTCCGTCACGTAGCCGTCTGCTCTTTGCTCTGCTGTCGAACTAAAAGCTGGCTGTCCTCGCGACCCGCTCGAGTAACTAACCTTTGCCGCGCAACGACCAGTCCAAGCGCCGTTCAGCCAAACGTCTCCATCGCACGACCTCCACGAACCCGCCAGACAATGCAACCATGAAACGTGCTCACCCTCCTTTTCGCGCAGTGCGCTTCAGAGCATTCAGCCTAATGCCTGCAACTGGCCAGAAAATTGAGGCGCAGCATAGCAGACTCTGCGCGCGTCTCCAACAGCGGTGGCTACTTGCAAGCCGAGAGTTCCACCCAAAACCTCACCACCCACGAGATGCATGCGCCACAAACACCAACTTGGAACGTTCCAGTTTGAAATAAGGCAACCTATCGCCTGATAGAACACAGCTAAGATATTGCAGTCGAGAAAACGCCAAGAGCTCCAAATCCATGGCTGCGCGCCGACGCAATCGCCACCACTACACACAAAGCCATGCAACTTTATACACACTGCACTTCGTAGCTTGTGACGCCTAGTGATTGCGCCTCGAACTTTTACACGTTTGCGGCACAGCACGCTATTAATGTCAAAATCAAAGTCGAGACGTACGCTGCGACAACAGCACAGACGTGTTGCATCGCAAGACCAGCCATTCCAGCTCGTCCGCCTTGACGTACTAGCTGCAAATCGCAATAGCCAGCGAGGCTAGCTCCGACACCGGTGGGTGTCTTCGCGCAAGCCCACGCCTGCAAAACAGCAGCAACAAAACTCACTCGAAACAACGGCAATGTCCTAAATACACGCGATACAGCGTTACGCAATGCACTGTGTCATCGATCCTGACAAGGCCACAATATAGCGAAGAAAACGCTTTTTCACCTAAACAAAGTGGTACATCGAGGCAGCCCCCAATGCCCTCCGACGCACAGAGATCCTGCCAAAAAAGGCTCCCCGCCAAGCTGCACGCTGACCACGCTCTGACCATGCACTCCAGCTCCGCTCCTTGACAAGGCTTTTCTTTCGCTCTAGAAACAGCACGTCCACCGCTCTCGAAAACATATTTGCCTTGCACGCCTCAGCTCCTCATTCGTTAGTGTGACATACGCCACTCGATGGATTGAAATATTCTCCACACGTACGGGCTGCAAACGAAGTCCGAAACACGCTCCAGATGCCCCCGAGATGTGCGCTATAAAATCACAAACCACCACGACAAAGCACAACGTACCTCCAACTCAAATATTGTCACCAAAATCCACACATGCGCCCTCCTCACCCCTGCATCCACAGGCATTCCAAACACGTCAATACGACGCTGCCTTAATGCAAATTTCCAAGCGCTTTCTAAGCCATCGGCTCTGTGCAACTCGCGCTGATGTCGTGTGAGACAGTAGCAACGTGAAACGACAAGTCCGGAAAACGCAAGAGACTTAGACAACCTTCAAGACGCAAATGCACTAGCTGGGGGCAACTCGACGTGGATATACCAAAACCGTGAACTCACGCAACTGACAAACGCACACTCGCAACACTCGCAACACTTCTACTCCTCGACGCTCACTCCCTGCATCGGCAATTCCGTCACGTAGCCGTCTGCTCTTTGCTCTGCTGTCGAACTAAAAGCTGGCTGTCCTCGCGACCCGCTCGAGTGACTAACCTTTGCCGCGCAACGACCAGTCCAAGCGCCGTTCAGCTAAACGTCTCCATCGCACGACCTCCACGAACCCGCCAGACAATGCAACCATGAAACGTGCTCACCCTCCTTTTCGCGCAGTGCGCTTCAGAGCATTCAGCCGAATGCCTGCAACTGGCCAGAAAATTGAGGCGCAGCATAGCAGACTCTGCGCGCGTCTCCAACAGTCGTGGGTACTTGCAAGCCGATAGATCCACCCAAACCCTCACCACCCACGAGATGCATGTGCCACAAACACCAACTTGGAACGTTCGAGTCTGAAATAAGGCAACCTATGGACTGACAGAACGCAGCTAAGATATTGCAGTCGGGAAAACGCCAAGAGCTCCAAATCCATGGCTGCGCGCCGACGCAATCGCCACCACTACACACAAAGCCAAGCAACTTTATATACAGTGCGCTTCATAGCTTGTAACGCCTAGTGATAGCGCCTCGAACTTTTACACGTTTGCGGCACAGCACGCTATTAATGTCAAAATCAAAGTAGGGGCGTATGCTGCGACTGTCACGCGAACATGCTGCAGCGCAAGACCAGCCATTCCAGCTCGTCCGCCTTGACGTACTAGCTGCAAATCGCAATAGCCAGCGAGGCTAGCTCCGACACCGGTGGGTGCCTTCGCGCAAGCCCACGCCTGCAAAACAGCAGCAACAAAACTCACTCGAAACAACGGCAATGTCCAAAATACAAGCGACACAGCGTTACGCAATGCACTGTGTCATCGATCCTGACAAGGCCACAATATAGCGAAGAAAACGCCTTTTCACCTGAACAAAGTGGTACATCGAGGCAGCCCCCAATGCCCTCCGACGCACAGAGATCCTGCCAAAAAAGGTTCCCCGCCAAGCTGCACGCTGACCACGCTCTGACCATGCACTCCAGCTCCGCTCCTTGACAAGGCTTTTCTTTCGCTCTAGAAACAGCACGTCCACCGCTCTCGAAAACATATTTGCCTTGCACGCCTCAGCTCCTCATTCGTTAGTGTGACATACGCCACTCGATGGATTGAAATATTCTCCACACGTACGGGCTGCAAACGAAGTCCGAAACACGCTCCAGATGCCCCCGAGATGTGCGCTATAAAATCACAAACCACCACGACAAAGCACAACGTACCTCCAACTCAAATATTGTCACCAAAATCCACACATGCGCCCTCCTCACCCCTGCATCCACAGGCATTCCAAACACGTCAATACGACGCTGCCTTAATGCAAATTTCCAAGCGCTTTCTAAGCCATCGGCTCTGTGCAACTCGCGCTGATGTCGTGTGAGACAGTAGCAACGTGAAACGACAAATCCGGAAAACGCAAGAGACTTAGACAACCTTCACGACGCAAATGCACTAGCTGGGGGCAACTCGACGTGGATATACCAAAACCGTGAACTCACGCAACTGACAAACGCACACTCGCAACACTCGCAACACTTCTACTCCTCGACGCTCACTCCCTGCATCGGCAATTCCGTCACGTAGCCGTCTGCTCTTTGCTCTGCTGTCGAACTAAACGCTGGCTGTCCTCGCGACCCGCTCGAGTAACTAACCTTTGCCGCGCAACGACCAGTCCAAGCGCCGTTCAGCTAAACGTCTCCATCGCACGACCTCCACGAACCCGCCAGACAATGCAACCATGAAACGTGCTCACCCTCCTTTTCGCGCAGTGCGCTTCAGAGCATTCAGCCTAATGCCTGCAACTGGCCAGAAAATTGAGGCGCAGCATAGCAGACTCTGCGCGCGTCTCCAACAGTCGTGGGTACTTGCAAGCCGATAGATCCACCCAAACCCTCACCACCCACGAGATGCATGTGCCACAAACACCAACTTGGAACGTTCGAGTCTGAAATAAGGCACCCTATCGCCTGACAGAACGCAGCTAAGATATTGCAGTCGGGAAAACGCCAGGAGCTCCAAATCCATGGCTGCGCGCCGACGCAATCGCCACCACTACACACAAAGCCAAGCAACTTTATACACAGTGCGCTTCATAGCTTGTAACGCCTAGTGATAGCGCCTCGAACTTTTACACGTTTGCGGCACAGCACGCTATTAATGTCAAAATCAAAGTAGGGGCGTATGCTGCGACTGTCACGCGAACATGCTGCAGCGCAAGACCAGCCATTCCAGCTCGTCCGCCTTGACGTACTGGCTGCAAATCGCAATAGCCAGCGAGGCTAGCTCCGACACCGGTGGGTGCCTTCGCGCAAGCCCACGCCTGCAAAACAGCAGCAACAAAACTCACTTGAAACAACGGGAATGTACTAGATAGAAGCGACAGAGCATTAGACCGTGCTCTATTCACGCACGTTGTGCAAACGTGTTTGAGCATTGTTTCAGACCTAGCGAGGCGGCTGGCGCGTGGTGCAACTCATGTACGTTTAGTCTGAAGCTGTCACTCCTGAAATGTGCGAGTTTGTGTGTGTTCGAGTTTGTTTGTACGGTTCGAAATCGTAATAGTCACTATGGGCACAATCATAAAGCGTGACTCCCAAAGCTTTTGATGTCTTTTCAAAAGATGTAGACTATGTCAGCATATCCATCAACTAAACATTTTGGCGACTAGTCAGTGGGAGAGCGACTGCCGCCACTGTATGCAGATCGACACTCACTTTCTCGATCTGAGACACACAAGTACATGAAGGTACCAGCCATTCGTTTTGCTGACAACATGAATGTCGCGTGTGTGGAAAAACAGCTCACGTATGTAAGGTCTGAAGTGCGATTCGGCATTCTCGCATCGATCCGCCAAAAGTCATCGTGCGATCATCTTGAGGACTTCCGACGGCAAATTCAA